ACAGAAAACCAAACATTGCATGTTCTCACTCATAGGTGGGAATTGAACAATGAGAACACTTGGACACAGGGTGGGGAACATGACACACCGGGGCCTGTTATGAGGTGGGGGCCGTGGGGAGGGATAGCATTAGGAGACATACCTAATGTAAATGACGAGTTAATGGGTGCAGCACACCAACATGGCACATGTATACATATGTGACAAACCTGCACATTGTGCACATGTACCCTAGAACCTGAAGTATAATTATAAAAAAAAAATTGGTCATCTTGGCTAAAGCATGGTGCCTAGAGAGGTGGTCAAGCAGTATTCTGGATGATTTGTGAGGACATTTGTTGGATGAGATTAACATATAAATAGCTAGACTTTGAATAAAGTAGATTGATGTCTATCATGTGGGTGGGCTTCATTCAATTCATTGAAGGTGTAAATTAAAGAAAACACTGACCTTCCTCGAGCAAGATGGAACTCTGCAGCAGACAGCGCTGGGATTTGAACTACAGTATCAGTCACCTGACCCACAAACAGCTGGTTGCTTTGTGTACAGCGTTTACAAGATGAATGGACAACATCCTGTTTGGAAGTCCACCTCTTTTATCACAGAAGGTAAAAACAGAAGAGCTCTTGTGGACTTAATTGCATGTTGTTTTCTTAGCAGTGGTGGAAGAATTGAACAATGGTAAAGTTCCTACGTTTTAGTTTTTACTGACTTACAGGGAGTGACTAATGGCCTGGCTGTATAATTAATCAGGAGAGCAATGGGAAAGTTACCTATGAAAAGAATGCCCATATGAGGCAAGTCCTATGGAAATCACTATGGTAATTTGAGGGGTTCATTAATGTAAGATCTGTTAATTCCTGATAAAGATTGGATGTTGCTCTTGTGCAGATCTCATGTTGAGACGTGATCCCAACATTATAGGTGAGACCTGGAGGGAGGGAGGTGGTTGGATCATGAGGTCATTTTCTCATGAATCATTTAGCACCGTCCCCTCAGTGCTGTTCAGGGCCCCTCAGAATACCTCCCTTCCAGGTTTGGAAGGTGATTGAAATCAACAAGAATTTGTCTCCAAGTGTTTGCCAGGTGCACCTGAAATTCCAGCTATGAATGCGGCTGAGGCAGAAGGATATCTTGAGTCCAGGAGTTAGATTTTAGCCTGAGCAACATTTGAGACCAATCGGGGAAACATCAAGATTACATCTCAGAAACAACAACAAAAAACCCACGTTTGCTTGTGGTGATCACCTGAGTCCGTGAAATAAGTAGACATTGGGGCCTTAGCAATGCAGAGATAGGTGGAATCAAGACATATTCATCTTGCATTCCACATATCACAGGCAGAAAATACACATAAGAAGGGCTTTCTTTAACAAAAAAGAGAGATAGCATATGGCTATGTGGCAGATTCTTTTATGGGAAGGCCTTGAAAATACATAGCTGGCAAGTTAGACTGATACCATTAGCCCCAGGAAGCAGCAAATGGGTCTTGACAGGAATAGATCCTCACCCTGGAGTGGGCTTTGTTCAGCTGGTGGTAGGTGTGTTACCAAACTGAACTGGGGTCCACTCACCTGGGGCAGTAAAAACAAACATCCACACTGAGACTGTAGTGGGAGAAAGGAGGGCATTTTTGTGTAGGGCACCAAACAAGGAGAATCGGGCAACTCACGCTTAAGACCCATCGTTTTTGATGGCTCACAAGGAAGGATTTTTAAAGGCAGGGGCAAATTTCGGGAAAGCAGAGTTACAGGCAACATCATAAATCAATGCATAGAAGTGATACACTGCTTCGGCCTTAAAAGGTGGAATATCTTCATGAGGGAGCTTACAGGTATTAGGTAGATTTAAAGATTCTCTGATTTGTGATAGATAAAGAAGCAAAGCTTCCTCACACAGCTTCCTTACACAGTTGGGGGGAGTAGAGAGGAATGTTCAGGCCTGGCTTGTGGGCTTGACTCTCTCCAGGCCTCTCAGGAAGAAATTTAGAACAAAGAACAGCGGTCAGAGTTCAGTCCTCAGTTTCCCCTTTATAAGGTCTCCCTGTCAGTGGATCTATTAGGTGGGAATCTGTATTTCTGAAAAACAACTCAGGGACATATGTTAAGATGTTCTTTTTAGTTTCTGTAGAGAATCAAAGATGTTGTGACTATAACTTCCTTGGCTATTGTTTTAAGCTATCATTACCTTCTTGTTTATAAGGTCACTCACTTACTTTTTAGGGCTGGCTAGGTGTGTGGAATTTCTCTTGAAGGAACTGAAGGCTTTTCTTTATTTCCAGGTTGGGAGGCCCTGGTAGGCCTCTAAGAGAGGTCCCTGCTTTATCTCAGATGCAAATGCTCAGAGTGCTACAAAGAACTTGAATGGGAGGTACTGCAACCATGTGGACCACTGAGTCACATTTCTTTACACCGGAAAATGCACC